TCTTATCAGCTTTTTTCTCCCCCGGGATAAATATCTGAATCCTATCATATGGTGAATATAGAATATGAAAGTCGTTACTCAAGAATCGCAAGTTTTTCGAGGTTACCGGTGAATGGTGGTGATGCTAAATGTACGGTAGACCGTACTGTACTGCTTCGCTTGGTGTGAATATATTTGTAGACTGTGGTCTAGAGGTACGGTAAACCGTACTTCACTGCTTCGCTTGGTGTGAATATATTTATAGACTGTGGTCGAAATGCTTCGCTGTGGTATCTGCTGCTATAATACCGTGATAAATCGAATAAGATGGTTTTGCAAAGAAGAAGCGTCTGGCATTACAGGTAGGAGGGGGGATAAGGGGGGTGCGGTGTTTTTGTCTGTTCGATTGCTGTGATGTGGTGCTAATCAATCTGCGACCACCCGTGTTTTGTCTGTTTGATTGCTGTGATGTGGTGCTTTGTTTATAATTTGACGCGTTTTGTTCGAAATAACCGTGTTCTTAAAATATATGACGGTCAGAAATGCAATTAGAAGCCCAGATAGAGGAGTTCTGGTACCGTAACACAGCGCGGTGACACTGAACTAACTCGTAGCTGTCAAAAGCTTGAAAATCCATACAAATATGAGAGATAAAAAAATGAAACTTGGCAGGTGGGTAGGGTTGTGTTTTTACCCATCTTTGAAGGTTTGGCGGTTCTACATTTAAAGGAGGGGGAACAGGGGGGTGTGCATTTCCAATATGTCGATAATATCTTCATCAACCAATTTGCGACCACCGTGTTTTGTCTGTTTGATTGCTGTGATGTGGTGCTTTGTTTATAATTTGACGAGTTTTGTTCGAAATAACCGTGTTCTTAAAATATATGACGGTCAGATATGCAATTTGAAGCCCAATGTTTTTAAAGATAGAGAAGTTCTGATACCGTAACACAGCGCGGTAAAACTGAACTAACTCGTAGCTGTCAAAAGCTTGAAAATCCATACAAATATAAGAGATAAAAAGATGAAACTTGGCAGGTGGGTAGAGTTGTGTTTTTTTACCCATCTTTGAAGGTTTGGCGTTTCTACATTTAAAGGAGGGGGAATAGGGAGGTGCGCATTTCCAATACGTCGATAATGTCTTTGTCAACCAATTTGCGGCCACCGTGTTTTTGTCTGTTTGATTGCTGTGCTGTGGTGCTTTGTTCATACAGGTACTGGTAAGTCACCGCATATGATTTTTTGGGAATTGTTCTGCGTGTCCATATATTTGAGCATTGCTCTCTTGTTATATGTGATATTTTGAATTTTCTGCGTCATATGTTAGAAACATTTCGCATTAGCATATTCCGTACATCACTCGCACTTCTTTAAAGACTATGTTTTGATTTAAACATGACCATTGGTGTACTTTTTGTTTACTGATAAATGAAAATGTTACTTTAAGAATATAAGACACACAATCAACTTTACCTTTTTTTTAACGATTTTTCTATTGCTCGTATAGTCGCATTAGAATGTATTCTAAAGGCAGTTATACATTTGCAGCAAAACCAACGAAGTCCCTCCACTGCTGATGCAATAGAATCAGCTCCGTGCAGTGCAGATGAAACCACTCGCACGCAATCCAGCGTGGTTTATCAGACCTACCATTGACTTATATACAGCGCAATCTTCCTTCTTTTTTCTCTTTGTTTTGTAGACGAATTCCGTCTTCTGTTTATAGTTTTGGCTTTATCTAATCTCATAGTTTTCTGTTTTTTTAATCTTTGAATTTTTTCTATCTCTTTTCTGTTTGCTCTTTTTCTTTTTTGTTCCTCAACTAACCTTTTTTTCTCAAGTGCACCCTTTATCTCGAATCTCAATTAGAGGACAAATTATACGGAGGAATAATTTTGAAATTTTTCACGAGCTTTTTCTTGTATTTTAAACAACTATTTTCTAGGCAAATTTGTCGAAACCGTATCAACACAAAAACTTTTTATTTCTATTTTCTAGTTCTTTCAAAGTCTCTAACTTCAGGTGTCTTTATGCGATATAAACCCCACTGTCTTCCATGTCTCTACACTCTAACTTCTTTTCAAACAGTGTCGTTTCATATCTCTTCCCAACGCATCCAAAGCTCTTCTGCACTTAGAATTAATTGGTGACAAACACTAGTACATTTTAGAAGCCGGGAATGTTACAGCATTTTTACTCTGATCATTTAGGTTTAGCTCAACGTCATCTGATGTATTACAACTAAATTCGGATGACCGTGATGTAAACATCTGGTCGTCATTTTGCATATCAGACATATTCAAGGTGGTAAGCGTCTCTTCAGGTTGCTCTCCGTCAAACAAAAGAAAATCCGAGTACGACACCCCATGGTCTAGTAGTTCATTGGACGCCAACACTCTTAGAGATTCTATATTTTTACTTTCAACAGACCTTGGGCCAGCAAGCGACATTGGAGTTACGTCGAGAGTATCTAAGACAGTTCCTACGTCGCTAATCTCAGTCATTCACTTCCCAGATCTGATGTTGAAAATTATTGTGCAACTCAGGCTTTGTGGATTTTGAGATTGTTGATCGTCAACAACTATGGTGGACGGTAAAGCTTTTTCTAAATCCACAGCTCCAATGTTTGAAGGCCAACCGCCACATGTAGTGTGGGCAGGCAAACAGTAAAGAATGATATTGTTCTCTCTGGCCTACGTGCTCGTGCAAAAATCTTTGCGGGACGTGTGACCGTCAAGAAGAAGCACGACGGCCCCTCTTCTTGACTTATTGGGTAAATTAGGTATAAAGGTTTCCTCTATTCAGTCATAGAATGAATCTTTAGTCATCCAACCTTTATCGATTTCATGACATCTGCTTCCCTCGAAAAAATCCAGTGCATGAGAAGGATTCATGCGGTTGACGGGAAAAATTATGTAAGGTGAAAGAACGTTGCTGCTGGCGCTAATATAAATCAGTACTGAGAGTTGTGTTGTTTTGTTGCATTCGTTTACAGGCAACAACTTTTTTACCGGCCTTCGTTTGAAAGGATAATACGCTTTCGTGGCAGTTGTATACACAGCTTCCACTCGTGATATTATTTTTATCCAACATTGTCGTGTACTGTTCAAACCAACTGGTTACCCTTCACTTGGAACCAGCAATGACTCGCGCCACCTACAATTTCTCAGTTGACATCAGTTTTAGGTCAGGATTACGGGACAATAATCCGTACCAACTGGAATCACTGGGAAGATTATTGTTGAAATACCTCACACGCTTTCCTGGTAAATCTAAAATGTTTTTCACCGTTTGAAGCAACCAAATAAATAATTATTTGAATAAATACATTCACCTAGATTTGGTCAAGAGCAGCATATGTCTCACGTCACTCTTTCCCATCCTGAGCCATGTCCTTAAAAAATGTTTTTAATGATTCTTCCTCCTCAGGTGTTAAAGTAGTTGGAGGCTCGCGTTTAGGCATCACAATGAGTGATATTTTTCTTGAAAATTTAAGATATGCCGTCGTTACTATAATTCGGCAAGCAACTAATTCAAACGTGCTTTATGCGACGGACCGATACCGAAAGAATTGTTGACAGTCGAAAAACAGTAACAAACCGGCCAGAGAAGATGATTGCGGCGGTTAGGCTACTTCACTAGACCCTTATGTTTACCTTTGTTTAGTTGATTTCTTTTACTGTACTACTGCTTCTTGTATGAATTTGCCTTCAGCACCCTGTCGCCATGCCACTGTAGAGTTTCATAAGTGTAGATTAAAACCCCTTTCGGATCCTGATTTCAATAATATTGTTTGCTAATGTCTTCCGAATGAGGTACTGCCCCCAAAAACAATGGCCCGTACCGAAGTTGGCGAACCAGGTTTCTTAGCCCGTTTATTATCTAATAAAAGGCGGTTGACATGGTCACCCTGACTGAAGTCGCTTGCTTCCTTTGTTACGAACGAGATTCGGGTCGCCTCAATGTATTTTATTTCCGTATTCTCTTAATATTTGACTGTTTTCCTTTAGATGTTCGACTTCCTTATAGGTGACGCTGCTCGATAATCATTACTGGTTTATCGCGTCTTCCTTCACACTGAAATGCATTTTTCGTTATCCTATTAGTACAATGTGTATTTTCGGTATGTGTAAAAATAAACTACTGATACTAATTAATGCCACTGCTGAAACGATCAGACAAAGCTGCTTGAACGATCAGACGAACTGTCAGCCCCAGAAGATCATGGCAACAGATCTGAAGACGTCAAAAAGTTTCAGAAGAAAGTGTATCATTCGTCATGACAGCAAATCCGTGCCAGAAACGAAATACGAACAGTTTGAGGACTTCGTTGTAAAATCCTTAAACAGCAACTTGGAGCTTGACAGTCCTATTGTCAAACTCGATATCGACATCACCCATAAGTTGAGATCAAAGAACCCTATCAATAATAAATTTGTCAGAAGATCGACAAAAAATTTAATATATGGTAAGAAGAAAGACCTGAAAGGTAGCGGTTTGTCCATCACGAAGTGATCAACAACCTCAATTAAATTTGCTTGCCTATAATCCGCGACTTTAGAAACCTTACTTGAACCTTTAACAACCTATATATTCCCGTAATCAATCTTCATACCTCTGTATCATACGACCCTAATTAATTTTAATTATAATTGCCGGTACTTTTGATTAATAGTATTTAAAATAATTTGGACGTTAATTTGGCTTCTATTTAGTGAGTGAAGCAGATCTAGCCCACCTCTTCATGAATCCAGCTTGGCAATTCTGATCGGGCAATTTGGCATTAGGTGACTCCAATTATAATCAGCTTGACGATATCTTTTGAGGAATATTTTTCTATCCACAGTATATAACTGTTTTTGACTAATTCGGTATCCAATATGGCAATCCTCATGGAATTATTAATTTGGTGTGGCAAAAGTATTCATTCATATTTTAATTTGTTTTTATATTTTTCTTTTTACCGAGTAAATTACTTGATTTTAAGTCTCGCTTTTTTAACTTCTAACCTTATCATGTTTCGATGAGTGTGCGTGGGTGCTTTAATTTTTTTTTATACTTTTGGGTGAGCGAACACGTACTACTTCTTTTATCAATACTTTTCCATTTTAAAATTTGTACGCTTCAAACCTTGCTTAGGTTATGTTTGCTTTCCCGATTCATAATCAGTTATTTTGTTTTTATCTATTATTTTATCGTCTACTGCTGATAATCTAGTCAAAACAAGAGAGCAATGCTCAAATATATGGACACGGAAACTATTTGAAATAATTGCATCACGCTGTTAAACCGGCAAATATTTTTTGCATTGATAAAACCGCGACCATATTTCATAACATGTTGAACATTGTTGAAAAAGTTGTAATGCTTCTTTCTTGGCATATTCGTTGTTTCTGTGTTTACAGCAGAACTGTAACAAAAAAGCAACAAAATGAATATAAACATTGCAGCTTGCAGGAATACAAATAAAATGGACTAAGGTAATTTGACTGCAATAAAATAACAGTAAACATGTAAATGAAATGAAGTTGGTGTGCTCTGGCATCAAGACTTACATGCGTCACATGTTAAAAATTTTCGGAGAAGTTAAGATGCTTCTTTCGTAGCATATTTCTGTTGTTTCCAGCAAAACTGTAATAAAAAAAGAATAAACATGACAGCTGCGTGAATAAAAAGATATACGTCAGGTTAGACGTTAATTTTACCGCAGGTATCAGGTTATGGCACCAGTAATGAACTGACTTTATTTCACTATTAAACATTTGATATGCTCAGCCCTTACACTTACCTGCTGCACATGTCAGCATGTTGAAATTTTTTGTAAAGTTTGTAATGCTTCTTTCTTTGCATAATTCTGCATTTGTGGTGTTTCCAGAAAAAACGTAACAAAACAGCAAAATATGAGAACAAGTATCGCAATTGTACAGACATTCTCATTACTGCATTAATAAAGAAGAAGAGACAATAATTGAATTTCCCTGCAGACGCACTACAAGTAAATGAATTCGGTAAGCTATGGTAAAATTGACAAAGTTACGACAAAATAGGCTCTTCTTATTTTCACTGATAACTCTACTCTATTACGGTACTAGGTAGCAGGTAGGGTATGTATTGTATTAGGTAGGGTTTGTTTTTAAGTCTGACAGTCTACCGGTACCGGTATCGCACCCATAAAAAAAACTTTCAATACTGTCCCCATAAAAACTTTCATTTCCCAACTTTCGCTAAGGCGATACCTTACCGTCGCCACAGAAAGCTTTTCAATTCCAACGTCCGCTAAGACGGTACGGTTACGGTACAGCGCAGAGACTGTCGTGGTTATAACAGTGAATGCAAGCCCCGCTTTTAAGAGACAGTTACGAGTTAGTTCAGTGTAACCGATTTTGCTCTTATCAAAATTAACGAATACGGTAGGCTAGATTTGCTAGAAAACCAACCTTATTGCAGACTGCAGTACAGTAGTACCGGTAAGACCGCGTAAGGAAAAATCGTAGCAAACAGCAAGGACTTCGTTACGAACCACCGACGTTCGATGGCACGTGATCAGAAGAATCGAGTGCTTATGCGACCGCAGAACGTTCGGTGACGTCATAGTAAACAAAAACAAATCTCACAGAGCTAACAGAAATATTTGAAATAAATAAAAGTAATAGCCTTCTGGAGAAAAATTTCATCTTCAACCACTAAAAATTTCAAAGCAATTGGTCCAGTAATCAAATAGAAAAGCGGTTTTTTTTTATTTTCACTAGATGTGGTAGTCTGTGTCAAACAACAAGAACAACATAATATTGAAACGATCGTTATGTCCATTTCGTGTCCAATAAACTTATACCTCTATTTCGCGCGTAGGATGGGTTTTGAATGACTGAGGTCTATTCCCCTATTCAGAGCCATTATGGCTCTGCCCTATTGCACACATGATTGCACAAACGCGAAACTTTAAAGATGGTCAAAGGAAACACAACCCTACCAACGTGCCAAGTTTCATCATTTTATCTATTATATTTCTAGTGATTTTCAAGCTTTCTCAAAAGGACAATGGGTAGTTGACGACATAGAAAATTGGTCCGTTTTTTCCCTAGGTCGTTTTTTTGGCCGTATTTTCGTTGTTTATGGAATTTGAGTGAGATTTTGCAGAGCTACGAGGACTAGTGGACGAAAGCGCGTGTGGAATATTGCCACGGTTCGTTAAATTTTCCGCATTAATTATTATTAAATCAATGAAGTTAATGGCCACAAAGTGGCTAAGCCACCCTACTAATATAAGCTGATAAGTACCGTTATAAATCATGCGGAATTATATCTACTCAAATCCTAACCAACTAACTCAATATTTGTCACCATAAGGGATAGCCCTGTCTTCATGGTTCACTTGCCGTGGTTACGGCAGCAAAATTTTACCTGCCATTGGCTTTCAATTTGCTGCCGCGGTAACGGCAGCTCGTCATTGGTTTGTGCTTGTGGCAGCTAAAAAGTCAGTAGTTATAGGTTTGGCTGTAGCGGCCATGGTATGGAAATACTGCCATGGTTTTGCGGCAGCTGCAGACGCCACAGAATACTTAAAACTGCACTTGTCGAATTGTATGACCATAAATGTTTTTTTCAATGTTCAAGAGTGTTCCTCCCATTTCGACAACACTGTTTCGACTTGCAGGGTGATTCTGTAACACATACCGTAACTGCATAATGTCCAAAATAATTTCATTCTCTGGTATGTTTTCAGAATAGGCCTATATATAAACGCAAGAACAATGTCTCTCTATGATGGATTAGGTTTGGATAGTAATCAAGGTGAAAAAGCAACCGGGTGGTCTTCCAGTTTCACAATGCTAAAGTCTCAACTTGAAGCAAAAAAGGCAGCTTTAACAAAGGCAAAGCATGAGAAGTTTCGAAGTGGTAACCCTGTTGTTGCTCCTGTGATTAATTTGAATAAAGCAGTAAAAACAGAAGAACAGCTTGATTACAGCCATGATGACAAAGTTAGTTTTAAAGTTGTGGATTATTTCTTTTTTAAATAAAAAATTTCCAGGTACTTTTACCGATTGGTTCGTGATTCTAGCTGCTGAGCTGTGCAGTTTTAGAATAGATGTTCTATCTTCATAAGTTCGTATATTACTAAGCAACATATTTTAAACGTTTTTGCATTTCAATGATATAGCTAGTGGATACAAAGCCTAGTCCGTTTCTTGGTGGAGAGAGTCTTGATCAATTTGAAGATGAGTACGATCCTAGGTATCCGAATGAATATGAAAAAGTTACACGAAAAAGAAGAGAAAGACGTCAGCGGGAAAGAGAAGAGGAAAGGCAGAGAGAAATGGAGGACAGACGGAAAAGAAGAGATTCAAGACATTCGGATCGTGATAACAGACGAGATGATCGAGCACCCCATGGTAGGATTAATACAATTTTCGTGATATTGCGAATACTTTAAAACCCATATATTAGTTTTTCTTGAATCAGTGAATAAATAATTTTTGATGGATAGTAGCCTTAAGTGATCACAAATATCTTGTGTTCACCCTAAAGAAGAGTTTAAAAGTAATCAAAAGCCTACTAATCTTTACTGACATTATAGTGCTTCAATTAATATACAAAGTTCTTGGAGTTGAATGACATACACATCCACTTGAAATAGTTCTAAGAAAATGAGATTTTGAATGCGGAAAGTGATAGAAAATTCATATTTTGCCCACTCTGGATCAGGTTCCAGACATGCTTGCAATTGTTACTTTGTAGATAAAAATTATGTGCTTGGACATATTCCAACCATCATTTACACTCTTGAAATTAATTTATGTGAACTTCAGTTACTGTGGGCTTAAACAGTCAGCTAACTTATAACTTATACTTATACTATGAGACTGACTCCTTTTGTGGCACCAACATACATTGATGACTTCATTCAAGCGAAATATTATATATGTAACCATTGATGTTATACAGGTAGGTTTGGTGGGCCAGGAAGTGGATTTTCGCGACGACCTGCATCTGACGAGGATGAAGAAGATGATGATTACGAACGAGAAAAACGTATCAGAATGACCCAGGGAAGTAAAGCTGCAATCGCACCTCCAACTATTCTTATAGAAGAAGATAAAAAAGCTGAAATTGCTCCTCCACCGCCTCCTTTAGCATTAGCAGGTTTCAATATCTTCATTTTCAACAAGCCGTATATGAAACGAAAATTCTAATCCAATTTATTAAACTAACAGTAAATACTTATTGGCTTAGGAGGTGTTTGTGTATTCAAGGCCTCATTTTTAGCCATATAGAAACTGTGTTAGTGTCAATTGAAATTTAACAGGGTGTAATTTATGTAGAGAGAAATTTCAGATTTTTTTTCAATATGTGTTGATGCATTATGATGTGATTTTATGTCTGCTAATATTTATGTGAGAAAGAAATATTAACCTTATTAATCCAGATAATTCTTGAAAGCCTAATTTTTAGAATGAACATAAACAAATTTTAGAAGACTATATGAAGTAAATTTTATATATTATAATTATAATATTTATATTACTATATTAATTTATATATTATAATTATATTATTATTACTCAATTGATATTCCTCAAAAAAAAATTCCTATCCAATTATTCGATAATAGTGAACACTTGATGCATTACTTGTAGGTGGAGCTGGAACACAATTTGCACGAAATATGGCAGGTTCTGTAGCACACAAAATCATGACAAAATATGGATTTAAAGAAGGATTGGGTCTTGGAAAAGGAAACAGGGGCATCAGTCATGCATTACAGGTTTGTCACATTTTCCGTGTTCGATACAAAGATGTTTTAATAAAATTTAATGAAATAAACAAGATTAATTTATTAGTTGAGAATTGTAATTTGGGGCTATTTTTAGTGTAAAGTAAAATCTTTCTGGGAATCACAAAAGAAAATATTTCCAAAAGTTTACCGATACAGTACAGCACACTATACAGATCAAGTGACATTGTCTTGTTCAGAGAAACCCATTTTACAGATGATCAGACACCCCTCTTTTTGGAGACGTTTGTACATTGCTGTCCTTTATATATCGTATAATGAAGTTGGCAGTTGCACAAAATACTACAAAAAAGCGCAATCTAATAACGTCATCATTGAATTCCCCGGGGAAAAAATAATTCAATTTACCGAAGAAAAATTTTTTTTATCCTGGCATACGAAAGTTTTTAGCGAAAAAACGGCAATTTTGATCACATGACGGCTGCGATTAATTTAGATTATTATTGAGACAAGCATGGCATGATCTGATTTGGTGCCACACGCCCCTCGTTTGTGAGACGCATGGAGTGTTTGTTTTATTGAACCAAATGGAGGGAAATTCTTGGAATTTGAATAGTGTGCCGTACTGCAATATAACAGTGCAGAAAATGCTCAAGGCTACTCATCCCTGATTGCAGTCATTTAAGTACATCCTTTTTGCCAAATTGACACGTTTGACCTTGAGCAACATTAATGATTGCATAGAATCATCTGGAAAGAAGCATTAGCTTTCCTAAAGGTAAAGTCTCTCTTTTGGTATGTTGTCTTATAATAGGTTGAGAAGACAAGTAAACGAGGAGGTAAAATCATACCAAGTTCTCAAATTGAAAAACAACTTGAAGAAGAGAAGAAAAGGGAACAGGAAGAAAAAGAAAGTGTAGCTAATTTGTTAAAGAATCCTACAAAGGTATTTTTACTTGTTTTATGCTTTTTTTTACATTTGGTTAATGGTGTAAATAGAGCATATTTTCTATGTTTATCAATGCTCAATCTACAGGTCGTTTGTCTTCGTAACATGGTTGGGCCTGGAGAAGTTGATCAAGAATTAGAAGGTGAAACATCGGAAGAATGCAGCAAATATGGGGAAGTTAGGAAGTAAGTTTGCGCAATTCCATCGGTTGGATTAGATCTACTATTTATTTATTTGCTATGAACTGGATTTATTTTAAGATTAGATTTTGAAGCAAGATGGAATTCTATAATTCTCTGTCATTTGGCTTGTTTCATTTTATCCTTTGTCAGTGAATTCAATTTTTATTTACAGATGTATGATATATGAAATGGTTGGACAACAAGAAGAAGAAGCAGTTAGAATATTTATAGAATTTGAAAGACTTGAATCTGCGATCAAAGCAGTTGTGGATTTAAATGGAAGATATTTTGGCGGAAGGACTGTGAGAGCTTGCTTTTACGATGTTAGTAAATTTCGTGATCTACACCTTGGGGATCCTCTCTGAGCTGACTGCCACTAACAGCTTTCCATATCATCTGACGGGAACAATGTGTTTGCTGCAAGCAAGAATATCGCCATTCTGAGGAAAATGCTAAGATTCAGGTCAAGAAAAGCAAGGACTTCGAACTTGAAACATGCAATCATGCCATGTCTACATATCTACAATACGTCCACCGGGACTGATATAAATCCAATTTATTTTCTTGTAATATCTAAAGAAAATTTTTTTACAGTTCAATTTGATAGCTTAAGATTGATTAGCTGGGGTCTGCTGATTCCTGTGGACAAGTACGGGTTTCCAAGCAGAATTAAGCGCATATGCGGAGCTAGCAATGTTGATATGCTTAGATAGATATGATACAGGTTAAAAAGGTCTTTCGACTTTTAACGCACTCACAACTTCACATAAGGTTGCACAATGAATAAACTTGTCCCATCTCATCGTGAACAAGCAACTAAAAGACACTAATGCTATGTCCTGGTGCTTGATAATTGAAATCCTCAAATCCAACAAATTCAAAACAAAGGGAGTGATGTTTTCTTGTTCTTTTGGTTAGGTTGATATGACAATCTAAGGTTTATATTCTCACTGGACAATGCTGTGCAAAATGGATTCTTCTGTTAACAGATCTCAAAATTATGATATACGTGCATTGTCTTAACTGTCCATATCACGCGGGAAGTTCTGTGCTTAGGTTCTTTGTATAGGCCTTCCGGCTTGAACCATGCTTTTTGCGCTTTCGAACAGTATTGAAGTTATGCTACTTAATGGCCGTAATTTTAATGCTGTTAAAAGTTGTTTAATGTTCCAATAGCATTTCATCGTAACTACAATACTTTAAAAAAGCGTCAGTCGCCTAACCTTTAAATAGCATTTCACCGTAACTTCAATACTGTCAAAAAGCGTCAGTCGTTTAAATTTGACTTAATACTGGTAATATTCGATTTCACTGAAGGTATAAGTTTGGGTTACAACGCGAGACTAACTGTATTTAGTCCTGCTCTGTTACGCTGACGGATTTGTAGGCGTATAATAAGGCAAGGATGCTGTAGCCAACTGATAGTGGTCAACATTCAACGCTGGAATAGATATGCATTCTTCTTTCGAAAAGAGAGCTCATCTGATTCACACCTACTTCTTGCCAGTGTGGGTCAGATCAACGTTTCTAGTATAATAATAGCCTATTATTAATAGGTATAAGTATATTTTGATTTTTTCGCAAAAAACCATACACAAAACACAAACAATGAACACACGGAAGATTGGGAATATCGGGGAAACTGGCAAACCCTTTATAAATGTTTAATACATGGAAATATACATGCGCCAGTTTACCCACGCCAGTTTTAGTATTCATTGAACGTCAGCAATCATTTGAGGATTTCATGACAGATGCGCGTAGTGATGTTATATCTAAGCCCATGTATCTGGGTCGAATTATTAGTTAACTCTTTCAATAGACAACCAAGCTTGTTCGTCTGACGGTAGACTGGTTCGCCACGAGGAATTGAATATGTGTGAGGAAGGATAAGCGAAACGTAGGTATTGAATATCCCAGACCCATGAATATTTATGTTAATCAGTCTTCGAATACACATTACTATATTGATATGTTAGTCATCGCGTTATTTTAAGTTTGTTTTTGTTATAAGTAAGACATAAGTAACACACAACGGGAATGAATCTAATCTCAAACGTCTCCAACTGCTGGGAAAGTTGTTCGGTTACATCAATCTGTGATAACGACATTTGGTCATTTCAGCTATAATTTGATGACTGAACGAGATATTAATTCAATGTAACCATTATCATATTTTAGTAAGTAATAATAATTACTCACATACATTTGATATCACAGTCATTGTTTTTAAAAAACACATTTTTTTCTTTTCTTGGAGAGAGTCTTAAAATACGCCACCATGTGCTGAGCTAGAGAATTGAGTGGCGGGAACTTTAAGGATTCGGTGATTCCCTTGAATGCTGGAAAGTACCGTACCTTTCCGCTCGTTCTCCTTGTCCGTGAATTCGACTGAACTCCGAGGTTGCTTCTTGATTGCATTCCTATTGAAACCGTGCACTGATATTTGATTTCAACTTGTGATGGAAGCTCCTAAGAATTTTCCGTTCCCATTCATTCCTTACGGAATACAAACAGATTTTATGAGGAATCTTTATGAGGCAATTGAAGACGGGAAAATTGGTATTTTCGAAAGTCCAACTGGTAAGTCTGTAAGGAAGCAATATTTGTGATGATAACCCACTATAGTGATTGACTAATTAGCCTATTTCGGTTTCTTTATTTTAATTTTCCTTCTGACGTTTGCTATATGTCCGTATGTCGAAGGGTTAACATACAAACATATGTTCCTTCTCGAAGTCATATCGCAAAACAACATGGTCCAGTCAGTGGGCTACTAGCAGATGCAGAGATGAACAATAGAATTGCAGTTTAGCCTTTGAGGGATTCAATAATCTATCTTCTGTGTCAAGACAATCAAAAGAACTTCTAATTTTGCGGTATATCATCTGTATTGTATTTACTCACCAAAATTTCAATAAGTTGCGAAAAATCATCCATGCCATACACAGGAATAAAAATAAAATTTGAACATAGGAATATTTTTCAGGAACTGGGAAATCAATGAGCATCATTTGTGGAGCTTTAAAATGGCTCCAGGATAATGACAAACGAATTCGAGGAATCCTTGAAGAGGGAACTGCAGTAACAGAAGTTCGTATTTCAGTATTCAATGTTTTCGTATAGTAAAATAAATTTTAGCAGATCAACAAATGGAATAGATAAAACAAACTATTTTCTACTTTGGCAAAATATGAATTGATTTTAATAATGGTCAATTCATCTCTTTATCTAATTCAGTAATTGCTTAGGTCTTGATAAATAGGTAGATGATCCATTTCATTTAATTTTTCGTTTCATTTTGTGACCATACAATATTTCACTTGAAAATAATCAAAGTAAAATAAAAAATAAGGAATATGGCATTGTTATGATTGCAGAATCCTTTATTTCCATCACTATTTTTCCATATATGTCCTGATATTCCTCAGACAAATGATGATGTTCCAACAAAAGCAACTGACGTTTCTGAAGAACCCGATTGGATCACAGAATTTGTTCAAAAACAAGAGCAAAAAAATGAAGAAAAAGAAATGAGAGATGTTGCTAAGAAATTACAATCAAGGGACAAAAAGATGAAAAGAATTCTAGACGGAATACAGCGAGATTCTTTTGATGAACCAAGCAAGAAAAAGATGAAATATGTGAAAGGAATGGTAAGTTATGGAATGAAAATTTGCAAAAGTGTACATACAAAAAATGTTCTCATAAGCGAAATATCACCCAATGAAAAGTACAGAAGTTGCTCTATTGCCAGTAACTTGTAATGGAAACCTTCGATATCGATCGGTATAACTTATGCAAATCTGTAACGGAGTAGTCCGAAGTTTGGAATTTCTAAAATATCACATGAAATTAAGAGCAAAGGTATGGATTGTATGATTCTGCTGCAACCTTACAAGTTAATGCATAAACACTAAAGTAATGTTCTTTTTCTTGAAATTTTCTTTTCTAGAAGTTTCATAATTTGGTTCTGCTCTGGACAGATAAATTGGAAATTCATTGATCTTAAGAGATCTGAGAAGCAATGGTGTCTTTAGTTTCCCGCTAAGCTCAATATTTTTATACTGTACGATAGGTATAATAAAATATACTAATAATGGCATTTGAAATGATATATTAATTGCTGGGTCATTTTGATTCGATACAACTGTACTTGATCCAAATATATATAGCTGAAGCAAGATGAAACTCTACAACTCATGGAAGAAGCAAAAAGGGAACTTGAAAACCGTGACAAGAATCAAACTGGTAATATGTTTGAGGTTTCTCTATTTTTCACTTCGTAATCTATCAAATATTATAGAATATAAAACAATACATCTACATTTAAAATTATTCCACCGAAAAGCCAGAGACATTTTAAACTAATGTTTCATAGTAAGCAATACCTGAAACATTTCAAAATTCATTCTATGCAAATCATTTACATTTTTGTGGTAATATAATTATAATAGCATAATTGTGAAATGTAACTAAGAAATATAAAGTGAGTCGAGTTCTTTATAACAACTTACTCGACAATACTCATTACTATATTTTTCTGTACAAAATATAGCTGGTCCTTTTCAACTTTCCAACATAAATATTTTAGGCGCTGGTGACAATGACAGTGTGGGCAATGACACAGAAATTGTATTAGATGAATATTACAGCGATGATGAGAATGAAAAAAAAATTGATGATGGAGAAGATGAAGACAGTTGTGTTCAAAAAGTAAATAATATATTTTAAGGGAAAAATAGATTTGAATTTTTATATCAGTGTCTAGTTGACTGCAACTATATTGAAATAAGATGCAAATTGTAGTATTTATGTTTGTTATTTAACCCAGAAAATAAAATAGCATTGCTGAAAATGATTCTTCTCCTACTTAGCTGTTAATCCTGTTTGCTACATTCTTCTCTTTGCCTATTTTGAAACTCTTCATTTTTTTTCTTTTGTTTTCTCAATATCTAATGGATCATGTGCAACTCGCAATCTGACTTTTTTACAGTTTAAATAGTTTATATTATGTGTATAAATATGTATTACTGAATAAGTCAAGAATGTTAGTATTGCTACATGCAAATACAAAGTATAATATTCTTCCCTAAAACTATTAAATTTCTTCATTGGGAGGAATTTTTCTTTGGTTGAGATACCGTGTCGTAGTGGAATAGCAACTAGTAATGACATTCTATCAAAATGAGTCAAAATTACTAGCATTGTTACACATTAGGGTATCTTGACTTATTGACAATAGTAATTTGTTAGACTGTTGACACATACACTTCATTTTGTCATTCCAGATCTATTATTGCAGCAGAACACATTCACAGCTTACACAATTTATTCGTGAAGTACAGAAATCTTCTTATAGTCAGACGTCGAATGGTAAGAATATGTATAATATGTTCAATAGTTAATTTATCCAGCAAGTTTATTATTTGTATCTTTTAGGACTTTGCGATCACTCGTAATGTAACATTCGATTGAAGAATTCATGAAAAAAATTACATTTTAATCTCTACTCACTCATACATAAAATCTTTTGGTAAGAGGAGTATTTTTCATTTCTCCTATGTCTTGTTTTCTGCTTTTAATCAAATAAGGGCTTTATATCAGATGATTCCAACTTCTTTGTTACTGTTGTTCCTCTTGCTTCTCGTCAATCTCTTTGTATCAATGAGTCTGTGCGAAGATTATCTTCTGTACAACAAATGAATGAAAGATGTCTCGATATGCAGAAAAATATTACTAAGGAAAAAGATGAGGGTAAATAAAGTAGTTTTCAAACTCATATTATCTTCAACTTAACTGATTAGTAATTTACATCTATGTATTTTTTTATATATCCATATTTAGTTGGGAATCTTTTATGGTTCACATTACATGAAAAATTACCAAACCAAATGTGAGAAAACTTGTTCATTCATTGTTTAGATTTAGGATGCAATGAATTAAGCTCAATCCTATTCGAAGGAAAAACTATAGTGCATTATACTATTTTTTTTTTGAAATTTTGAGGCAGTCATTATCCATGCTTCTTATTCCGCATCTCCAAAATGGTACACATGCAGAAAAATACATAACAACACATGGTTTTTTTAGATTACACTGTGGAGTGTACTGTTTGAGTCCTTTCCAATATTCAATTTGATTCTTTGCTTCTATTACCTTTTAAAATTCAGACAAAGAAAATAAAAACAAGAAGAAGAAATCTAAAAGCACATGTCCATTCAAAACAACATCCAATGTAAATGATCTCAGTGATAAAATTCTTGGGAAAGTACAAGATATTGAGGAGATTGTAAAATCTGGCAAGGAAATTACAGCTTGTCCATACTATGCTACTAGGTAGGGAAAATAAAAAAAATTTAGTAAAAAGTAGTGTTATTGAATAATATGTTCGTCCATACAGATTCCTGTTTTGTATTGAAAAATTAACCTGTTTACAAGCTGTCTGTTTTCTAATAGTGATATCAGACCCTGGTAAAAGTTTTCTATCTGGATTAATGGAGCTGGTTTATTTATTATTTTTTTAATATTGTGAATTTGTGGGATATCATTTTAATTGTTTATCCAGAATTGTACTAGAGTTTTTTTTAACAGTAAGCACTGTTTAAAAGTTACCTGTGCAGTGATTACCTTTCAATAACAATTGAGGTATACAAATTCTGATAAAAATTTGATTGAAAAGATTGGACTCCATTGGAGATATATCTAATCTGACTTTCCAAAAATCTTTCATTTCAAATCTCTTTTTTACCAAACTGTTTTTTTAGACAGGCTATTCCTTTAGCACAATTGATTGTTGTTCCATATCAAACATTGCTTCATGAATCTACAAGGAAAGCATCAGGAATCAAATTGAAGGATTCTGTCATTATTGTTGATGAAGCACACAATTTAGTTGATACAATCAGCAACATCCATAGTATTGAGGTTAGAGTTGTGAAGATTTAAAGTTTTTAGTTTTTATATATGGAGGGAGCATGAACTGTTATTCGATTTGGTTGGTTTAGTTGCATTAAGTAGTTTTATAGATATGGTTTCTGTGCATACAATATGTAATAATTAGGATTTGCATATTGATTTTGGAGATGAGGGAAGTCGATTTGATGGCGTAATCATATGGCAAACCACGGCCTCTCGTCCAGTTACTAGTCCATGTCAGGTGGGAGAATGGTTAGCCAGTTATTTGTTTGGATAGACTTATGTCCAAAATAACCCAGAATATTTAATGGTTACTGCTGTATGTTCCAACTTATAGTGATGCCTAAGGTAAAAAAAGATAAACGTTAATGAAGCTTCATGGAAAGTCAATTTAGTTATTGTTATATGGATCACATATTATAAATGTCTTGGGTTTATTCAATTTTTTTTATGAAATGTATATTTCTGATTTTGAAAGCTCCTAAATGAGTTGTATTCAAATTTCAGGTAACTTGTGCTCAAGTTCTACGTGCTCATAACCAACTAACCCAATACTCACAAAAGTTCAGTAAGCGACTCAAAGCAAAGAACTTGATGTATGTTAAACAAATTTTGTTTATACTGAGGAAACTTATGTCTGTTATGGGGATTTCACAGTCTGCAACAGGCGAGTATTATTATATTTAGAGTTAATGTTTTTTAGTAAGGCATAAACATAAATGAACAAAATTTTCTTCTGACCCAGGTATATTGGATGACCATAAATCCATAAGAGGAAATGAGAATACATCTTCGGGAATTCAAAGAAAAGGACAAATACAAACAACTTTGATGACAATTCATAATTTTTTGTTTAAAGCTAGCTTGGATAATATTAATCTTTATAAGGTATGTTGGAGCAAAAGTGCTCCGATTGGAATCTGATTGAAAATTGGTGGCTTTTACAATCCGTCTTGTGGATTTTGATTTGGAGATTTGTATGGCTTCATTTCGGCGGTGTTGTGCATCATGATAATCGTTAAGAATACGCTCTAAACCTTACCTCTGATTAACTTGCGTGGGTCCGCAGGTTCGAATCCCCTGCGACGATAATTATGTGAAAGGATTGCTAGACTCCTCGTCGCTTAGGGTGGTTCACGCAACCGCTGGTAGGTTACGGCTTTCTCCACCATCAAGTCCATGCATCTGAAAACAAGTACCTGGCTAACTAATCCCATACCCGACATGGACTGGTAACGGGAGAGGCCGTGGTTCGCCATTTAATTAAGCCTTTCCTCTCCCCCAGGATAAATATACAAACCCTATCCCATTCATTTCGAAACTTCTGGCAATGCAACAGATTTTTTGCAAAATTAAACAGTTGCGAATAAGTTCATATATCTGAAGCAAATGACTGGTTAACTATTCTCATACCCGATATGAACTGGTAACTGGATGAGATGTCGTGGTTTGCCATATGATTAGGTTGTCTTATCAGCTTTCTCCCCCCTCAGAATAAAAATGAAAATTCTTAGTTTACTGATTTGAATACCAGAACTATATTGGAACATATATACTAAAACTAGAAAATTTGTACTCTGTCACATTATTAGCTCAAAATCTTCCCTATCTGAGCCGTATAAGTATTTGTATCATATTTTACCAGGTTTTGCGATATTGTGGAAGAAGCATGATATCTCGAAAGTTGAAGGGGTTTGTTGAAAAATATGAAAATTCTGGATCAGTTTTGAAACAAGAAAGTTCATCTTTAACAAAATTCCTGTCAAATGCTAAAAAAGTACAAGGTAAATTTGTAGTCAACAATCACTTGCTGTAATGCTCTTTTCCCCAGGGTTAAACTAGTTAGTCATCTAGGTATATACTGTCATAAAACTAACATTAGATCAAAGTCTCCATAGTCGTCAATATTATAGTAAGAGTGTATGAAGAACCACTGGCCCATTAGTCACAAAGTGACATGTTTTTTTTTTATTTGGTGATCTGCCAAGTCAAGTATTATTGCAAAAAACTTTGCATCTCATCTTTCCTCGAATACAATAATCTAAAATTTAGAACTTTCGAATGACTTCGTATTTCCAATTCGGAAATAGAAATGATAGACCAATAGTGGCTTGGAAAGCAAAATTTATATAAATTAATGCTTACATAAATCTGAAATAAAAATGGAGATGGCTAATGCGACTAAAACTCGAGTAGAAATTCTAAAGTGGGAGGGGTCTTTGAAGATTTACTGTAGCGTTATTAATACCACCCAGTTTTCATACTCATGAGAATCCATGTTTTCACACACAAATCTCTCAAAATAGAGTACCAAAGTTTTATTCAACGTTAGTTCAATCTATCATATTTCCCTAGATATTGGGTAGGAAAATTTAATACCACCAAAGAAAGCAGCGAATGTATATTTTCAGGCACAGAGCAGAACACAACAGATATCAACTCGGATTCTATGCAACCAGCGATGAGATCTCCACTTATGCATATTGAAAATTTTCTTTCATCTCTTACTTCTATGAATGCCGATGGTAGGATTGCATTAACGACATTAAAACATCAAAATGGCCAAACATTAAACCAATCAGAAGTTAAGGAAATTGCTTCAATTAAGTTCCTTTTACTCAATCCAGCAGCACATTTTAAAGATGTTGTAAATGTAAGTTTAAATTTAAGATGTTATTCACAAGCTGTTGAAGAGTTTTCATCACTCAGTTGAAAAAGTATATTATGCTGTAATTATTGAGCAAATTTTAGCATGGGAATGTTTTTTCACACTTAATTACTACATATCAATGAATTTGGGTGCAAAACGGCAAGCATTGCTGTATTATCTTAGTGTTGGCCTGGGACTAAGAGAAAATCTGTTTCAACCCTAGTGGCCCATTCTAAGCTCCATATACCTGCTTGGCTTATAAACAGAACGATTGTATGCATTGGCCATCTGTTGGGGTGCCATAGAATTACAAGGAGCATTTACCGTAAATAGTAATTTTCTCAACTCTGTATACTGCTGTATGTTTTTAGGAATGCCGTTCTTTGATAGTTGCCGGTGGGACAATGCAACCATCATCTAGTTTTGTCAACCAGTTACTTGCACCTCTCGGTGTGCCAAGCACCAAAATATTTGAGTTTTCATGTGGACATGTTATTGATAAAGATCAGCTTCTACCTCTTGTTGTTTGTTCCGGCACATCTGGAACACAATTTGAATTTACATTTGAAAAAAGAATGAATTTTAAACTGGTAAGATGAGTTTAAGATATACTTTTTTCGTTTCAGTTCAATTCTGGATACTCTTAGTATGATAGTGATTGCAATTTTTTGATAAATATTGTGTATTCTGCAAATTAGAATACTATTTTCTCTTGTGAAATATTTGCACAAATAAAATCATCATAATTTTTAACTGAAAATGAATGAATGAAATTAACTCAGAGCATGACTCTGCATCGTAATAAATCAATTCAATATTATAAGATATTTGATTTTTTTTCTTGTTTTGTTTGCCATCATATTCCTGTGGCATTGGAATATCTCTTTTAAAAAAATTTCAGTTGAGCGACGATATGAAGTCACTAAAAAAAAATGATGAGACAGAAATATGTCGCGACAAACTAATGCTATTAGAGGCAAGATCAATATAGATTTCCTATGATGTATAACAGCCACATGTGGCCCGTGTCACATTCGGAGAGTAATCAAAAAATCGCATTTTGTGTTGTTTCGTCATAAAATTAATCAGAAAAATCTTTTGATATATTGTCATCACTAATGTCACTGAATTAAATACTGTTATGGCTAGCTGGGGAAACTAGCGAAGTTGAATGATGTGCTTGGCAGTCTAAATTGTTATCTGGCTTACTAACTTTTTTGTCTGGAATATATATGCTAACAATATAGTCATCATAGAAAACTAAAAATTGAATGCGGATTCTATTAGCCTAGAATGACTATGCCTGATAACTATGTGATTGCACAATAAAAGTGTAAATATGCAGAGCCGACAACCTTGGACCACCCTGATGTACAACATTGACTGAGTATACATAGATAAGTATTTTGACTCTTCCTCTATCCATGTCTGGCAAATTCCAATATACTTTTGTCTGTAGATTGATGAACTTGGAAGAACTCTGTGTAATCTATGTAATGTCGTACCGGGTGGAATTGTTTGCTTCTTTCCTTCATATGATTATGAAAAGATTGTTCATACTAGATGGAATGAGACAGAAATCTTGAAAAGAATTTCGCTAAAGAAAAAGGTTTGGTGTTTGTTATGTCAATATATGTTTATTACTGTTATTCACAAAGAGATGTATTTGAGGATATACATATAAACTTTATATTATCAAGTTTGATTTATTCTCACTGAAAAGGAAATGAGACTGATATCTGAGCGAAGTTACCGGTGACCAGAGGAAGTGCTGCGAGCTACAGTGTTGAAAATACAATGGGAGCAAGCTGTGTTAGTTTAGCATTTTGCATATATTGTGAATTGCACAGGAATATTGAATTACTGTTGTCTTGAGATGACTGACCACATGATCAACAGTGGCTAGCACTGAAATTAGTTTTTGTTAGGCAATTTGCTCCGGTGACAACATGTCAATGAAATCTGTGCTTTGTTACACTGGCCAATTTCTAGAAATAGCATTCATTCACAGAATCAGATTAATAATATCTTCATGTATTGTAGATATTTCGTGAACCAAAGAAAACAAGTCAAGTTGATCAAATATTGAATGAATATTCAACATGTATAATGAGAACAAAATCTGGGAACGATAAGATTACAGGTAACCTTTTAATTTTTAATCATAGATAGAATACATGCACCTCTTCCTGATTTATATTCTGAGTCAATAATCTGTGTTGATACTAGGTTCTCTGCTACTCAGTGTTGTTGGGGGAAAAATGAGTGAAGGAATTAATTTTTCTGATGACCTGGGAAGATGTGTTGTTATGGTTGGATTACCATATCCTAACTTGTATTCAGCAGAATTGAAAGAAAAGATGGCATACTTGGATGCAAATATGGTTATTTAATATCTTAAAAATTTTCTTTTCTCTAAAAGCTTAAACTGTTCTGAACTTTCTTGGTTGTATTCAGAACTCTGGCGTGTCTGAATTGTTACAATGTATATATGTGAGATTTCGATAAGGTTTTGGCCCATCCCGACTAGCTACTACCATTCTTTCTGGTGACTACTTGCTGAATTCCTTTCCACTAATTTATTTCTTTGATAGTATTGACCTCGAGAGTCGCAGCTCTTTAGTGTGTTTATGTCAACCTCACAAATACTTTTCATTTCAGCCTAGAGTTGGAACAAAGTCAGCTGGACAGTCATATTATGAGAATTTGTGTATGAAAGCTGTTAATCAATCCATTGGAAGAGCCATTCGCCATAGGTACAACTTTAGTATCAGTCACTCTTTATGTATCATTTGGATCAAAGCACTTCTGTGCATAATTGTATTGGCATGGTAAAATTTCTATTCAAGATTTAGCTCCTTATGGTAAAACAAGGCAATATAGGGTTCTGCTAAAGCTTCCTCTTTTACTAAAAGGAATATATCCACACCTAGAGAATCTTCAATGCAGACAGTATAGCACTGAAAACTTTTGTTTTAGAAATGACCATGCCTGCATTGTACTTGCCGATCATCGTTATGCAAAAATGAACATCAAATCCCAATTACCATCATGGATTTCTGACAAACTACAAGTTGCTGACAGATTTGGTATTGCATTCGGTGCTGTTCGAAAGGTATATTTCCAGCAATTTATGTATACTGCATTCATACAACCCTTTTATTACAATCAATCGAAGTCTCTCGTGATGATGAAAGTGTTTATTCTTTTGCAGTTTTTCATGGAAAAGAAGACTGCAAGCAGATGAAATGATAGCGCAATTGATAAGAATGCTAAAAAGTATCGTAATCACAAATTACATTCCATTTTCAACATTCAACAGTACATCCCCCAATTTAAAATATATATGCTTATTTATCATGATAGCTATGTTGTGTTCAATAACAGTTCCAGTCTACACCAATTATATTTACAGAGCAGATATTAAGTGACTACTGCATTTCGAAAGCAGCTACCGTAGGAACACAAATATTTTTGCACAGTGAGACAGACGGAACAATATAAAAATATATATGAATACACCTATAAGCTACAGTGATGTTGTCATGATCTCCTTGCCTGCCTGAACGAGCAGTTTTTCCAATATAGAGCATGTCCACAATTGATCATTTCAATCTGCAAGCATGGTGGTTTCATGTGATGTATTCACCCCTTGTGTCATATCTTCATGGTTTTCCTGAACAAAAAATTGAGTTGATTATTGGGGGGAACATTTGGTGTTGTCTTGAACAACTGCTTTTAAATCATGTTGATATTAGAGAGCTGTTTCAACTTCTTTTGCCCAGCAAGGGAAAGCACTGAATTCTATCTATCTATCATAGTCAATGAAAAAGCCTTCATTACCTCATGACTCATATTTTCTTCTCTGTGAATACTGTGCAATCTGTCTTGGATGGCATCTTGCAATGTTCGTAAGCTTTCTTCATCCAGTTCTTTTACCAATGACAATGTGGCAGAGAGAATGTTGATACTAGCTGTACTCTGTCCTAATGTTTCTTTTTGTGTATTTCGAGCTGTTGATTTACTTGTAACAATCTCTTGTTGTTGTGGTAATGGTCTCAATCCCAACTGTTTTCTCAGTTCACTGTCATTAATTAAGCGTTCATTCAAGTAGTCAGTATATGTTATCGGCTGTGTATCAAGTTTTTTCGACTAGGAAATATTTATCAACTTTCTAATATCCAAAAAAGATTTTTCACACGAACTAAATCTCGTATAATTTAATTAATAACCGGCAAAAACAAAATTTTGTTACAGACTTTAAATTGTGTTGGCATCCTAGGTTCAAACTGGAAAATTTCGGTCATGCAAAAAATTGTAGCTCATTGAATATCATAGTATATGAGTGACTGCTTTTACTGGACTTGTTTAGAGTAAAAGGCATGAATATCTTCAACCAGCATCTCATCCTATGTTCCACCTCAACTATCATAGCGCATTACTATTTGATACAATACTCCTATTACGCTCTGGTATGGAAAGCAGACTAAGTTTTCCTTATTATACTAACTTTGTTTCATCCACTGGACAGTGATTATTTTCTTTGTTGTAGCCGGAATACTGATTTTCAGATGGTGAAAGTCTAGATTCTTCTGATTCTTTTTCTAAAAACATGTCATGGCGAGAACTGTTTGTAACATTAGATTCTCTTGCATAACAATAACTTACCTTGTTTATCAGATTCTGTATTTTCTTGATTGTCAATATTATTTACGAGGTAACAATTTACAGGAATAGCTTTATCTTTTGATTCATTTGTTTCTTCTGGGATGCTTTCTGGTTCCGTCAATTCATCACCTTCCTTTTTTGCTTTTTCTACCTCTTCAGCAGTGACAACTGCAAAGAAAAGTGACTGGATTTAAATTCTAGAACTGGTAAGCAGACAGGGGTTGACTGTATATAAAAATCAACCTCTGACAAGAATTAATAATGTGTCCTCACCTACATTGTCCAGCTTAGCAAGCATTGGCAGCACTTTTAAAACTGTTAGTCTGTATTTTGTATTACTGATGTCATCACAAAATGGGTTGTCCGAAAGCCAAAGAATCCTAAAAAAAAAGGCTAACTTAAGGTAAGCTTAGTACTATATATATTCATACATGGATCCTCTTTGTGCCCAATAAGTAAATAAAACATACAATTATCATTATTGTTTCTTTTAACATATTCTATTACATATATAATCCTATTTATTAGTATATGTATAATTGAGAAGGTTACATACAACTAATATTCAATAAAGATACCTTAATTCTGTTAGCTCTTTCAAATGGAGAACTTCATTCAAATTTTTTAAATTATTTTTCCTTAAATAGAGTTCTTTCAAATTGCAGCAATGCGATAAAGCTTGAAGGCTTTCAATGTTGTTTGCACTAAAAATAAAAAAAAAGAATTTCAATCCACTATAAGATACTTAAATTGTTACACATTAATAACAGGAAATTTTTAAAAGTAAATAATTGAGATAAGTTTGTAACCATGCTTGAAAATAAGCGCCAACTTCCAATGAAATGGAAATCATGAGATCCAATGAATCCATCAAAATGAATCAATCCAATGAAATTTTTCGGATTGTGAAATATCTGCAGAAAAAATAAATACCGGTATGCGATATAAGCACAAAAATTTACGAGAAATGTAACTAACCTGGCGTTTATCACTTCAATGTTGTGCATTTTTCGAACAATTGTAATCTACAAAACATTAATAATGAGACAGTATAGCTATAAACTCCAATATAAAAAGACACTCAAGGTTCCATATGGATAGAAGTAAATAAAGCAAAGCATGCTTGGAAAAGTCAGTTTAGACGAGTTCAGTAAAATCTACAAAATTCTTCAAGAATCGATAACATCTAACAATTTTATGTATAATTCCACTAAGTAACTCTCACTATAAAAGATTCCGAAGATAATTCAAGTCAAATGGAACTAATCAAGACTATTTTACACTGGTATAAATGTGAAATATTTCGAATGTGATAATAATGATTTAATATATACACCTTACTAGGTATCATAAAATACTTACATCTGAGAGAGCACTGCCCCTGAAAAAGATAACATCAATTTAGCTATAAATCACTTATGATTTGTGTAATGAGTTAAAACTTGTTTTTATTAGTACTGGTACAGTAGTATCTACAGCTATAGAAATTTGAAACATTGCTATTCTATCCAGTATATTCAGCATCCAGTTTACAAAATTAATGAATGACTAGGGGCCTATACAGATTCTTACCAACAGTTTAGGTTCTTTACAGCACCTAAGCTTTTAGATCTTGCTCGTGCCAGCACCAGCTTTTCTGTGAGTTTTACCATATCTTTGTCATAAAGTAATCTTCTTAATAAAAAGATTGTGAAGCAGCCTTGTTATTGATTGTATTTCTTCCAATTTTCCTCAGGTATTTTGGAAATAAAATATTCTGATATTGGTGATACCGGTAGGCCTATTTATCAAAGTTAGTAATGAACTGAATAAAAAACAATAAAAAGTTGCCTATTTATTATACCAAATCCCGGTATCGTTAACTCCACCAGATCATAGGCTACTAGCGGCACCGGTTCACCGGGAATTTTTTTTTATGATTCCACAATGTGGATTACGGTACCGGTATGCAATAAATAAAAAACATAAAATAATAAATGAATAACAATGACCAAGTATACATAAATAACAAAACATTTCATTACAGTCAATTGATTGTATTGTCCATAGTTGGAATTAGTCACAGGTCACTATACAAGGCTACACCGCCGACCAGCGTACCTTGGTCCTTGGCTGCCTGGCTACTGGTAAATATAAATACAAAATCCCCAATGTCTGACCTGACCTTTGACACCGCACCCTGTATTTTTTTTTATGCAAACAGTGGTTGGGACTGGGTTTAAAATTTTTGCTAGTTTTTAAGCGCCAACTTTCAAAAACACTATTATAATAAGCACCAACAACTTTGCAAATATAGGATCAATTTTTCTGTGGTCGGAACTCGAAAAGCATCCTGAAGGTATATTTCCACACGGAGGCACTATTGAGCAAATGTACGCGTGTGGTTATTGTGGGTCCAGAGGAACTGCCATCGTTCAGCGAGCTCCGCGTTGCGCACTGAAGACGTGTATTTCAATTAGTTTTGAACGCTTGGATTAGATCCATTACGGTTGTCCTGAAGCTAAGCTTTATGTAATTGCCATAGTATGCATAGACATATAAATTATGGGACCGTACAAATACGGCGTCGGTAATTAGTTACCATACCAAACCCTTTTTTAGCTCACTCTGGTACCTTACCTCTGGTACCGTACTCTGGATATTGCATTTGGCTACCGGTACTGTCAGACTGTGTGGTAAATTCAAATTTCAGATTGTCTGCATTTCTAGTAGTCTGAGTAGTGGTACCGTAACTTTTGTCAGTACTGCAGTAAGCAACCGTCATCTTATTCAACGACTGTACGAGGAAATACCAAGGTACCGGTACCGGTACCGTACGCCTGTACGCTGGTCGGCGATGTGACTAATTAACAGATTAAAGTTTCATTCAAATCAATTTCTTTTAACTTCCCACCATTTTACGGTACCTGTACTTCTGGGTGGTGGTGTAGCCCACCGTGCTGAGCGTTAGGAAAACGCTCGCCACCGCACCTCTGAATTTTCTGCGTGGATTAGCAGGTTCGAATCCCACGCAGGGATGGTTGTGTGCGAAAGGATTGCTGGATTCCTCGCCGTCGTAGAGTGGTTTATGTAACCGCAGGTCGGTTACGGCTTTCTTCATCAAGTCCATGCCTTCGAAAACAAATAGATTAACTAACTAATTCCATACCCGACATGAAATGGTAACCGGATGAGAGGCAGTGGTTCGCCATATGGCAGTGTGGTTAAGTGGTCTTATCAGCTTTCCTCTCCCCAGGATAAATATTTAAATCCTGTCGTAGTTATTAATAACCTAACCTTTGACTTAATGCAGTAACGCATGGCTGTGTGTATAAATGTGAAGATTTCACCAAACCTTATTTTATTCTGATTCAATAATTTATATGCTAGACCTGTAATCTGTAAAATGGGGAAGAAAACTCAAAGAACGCCAGAAGAACTCACACTTGAAAAAAAGAGAAATGAAGAATTCAAAGACAAGATTCGGGCAAGAAGAGTAAGTAACAACGCTTATAATATGATCATCATGACTGTGTGTGTAGAAGGTGATTTATACATGCAAAATGGGTTTTGAACATCTAATTCAAAATAAATCATGGATTAAACTTATGAATATGATTAGAATAAATTAAAATAATGTGGTTAACTATTTAATTGTTGCCTCAATGAACTTATCAAAATCACAGCAATAATTGGGAGTCTCATTGTGTTGACGACTTATCTTCACAATGTTGACAACCATATTTCCATCAAAATTCAGGTCTCTTACACTCTAATACAATATTAATATCATTAACAATTTTCTCTTTGTAGGAAAAATTAGAAGCGAAAGGGAATCAACGGGGAGTTGTTCTTCTCAGTCATATTCCACTTGGGTTTTATGAACCACAAATGTATGAATATTTTTCTCAATTTGGAAGAGTTACAAGGTTAAAATTGATTCGGAGCAAAAAGGTTGGTCGTCAATTATTGTGTATATTTATTTTCATCTGTTCCAGGAAGTTATTTTTTATCACTGTTTGTTTCAGACTGGGAAATCAAGACAGTTTGCTTTCATTGAATTTCAATTTGAAGAAGTTGCAAAAATTGCAGCTAAAACAATGAATAACTATTTAATGTTCCAAAAACTATTAAAATGTAAGTATACTTCATAGTATTATCAATTATGCATTATCTTCAGTCTATCTCTATTTTCACTGATTTTGGTAACCATGCTTAAATTTGTGTGAAAATCATATTTTGGTAAAAATTGCAGGCAGACTTATTCCTTTGGAAGAAGTGAAACCAAACACATTCAGTAACTGGAGGCTTATTAAGCGAGTACCTCAAAGTAGAACAAAAGATATCAAGAGACACAATCAAGATGTAACTGATCCTGAAAAGGTTTGATCAAACTTAATAGTCATCTTTGCCAAAATAAAATGCATGGTATTAAATTGCAGAAAACTGCTTCGAGATCTGCAATGAATTGGACTTTGCCAGGTCCACATTTGATTTTTAGTTTTGTTGACATTGTAATTCCTCACTGTTTTTTTTACAGGTCCAGTTAAAATTAAAAAGGCTACGAAAAAGAAGAGGACTATTAAACAAAAAGCTTCGTGAGATGGATATAGACTATGATGTTATGAATGTAGGACAACAATGCCATTTTTATGATACTTGCTAAAATACAATCAGATTTCTTTTACTCAGTCAGCTTGTATTTGTATATTGTAGTTCCGTATTGTGGATAACTTTTTGAAATTATAGATTTCTTCAACATGGTTTATATTATATCAGATCATGTAATGGTAAAGGTCTTATTTTCATTATCAATAGATATTATTTCAACTTGTTTGTATTTTATCTACAGATTAAAGTAAACGACTCATTTGTTGCCCCTGAAAGAACCCGTGCTTCTCCTGAAGAATTAGCAGATGTTTATGAGCCTATTCCAGGTACCATATATATTAAAATGATTGTATGCTGATTGCTGAGTGTTTTGTCTATTATTATAGTTAAAGCAAGGATACTCTAGCTTTGTAGGGTATAAATTGAGAAGGCATACGCTCAACTCAACGCTTCATCCATTACCTACAGAGCTGCTTCTTTATCATGTCGGCTCAAACTGCTTCAATGCTAGCGTCAACTGGCATTTAACAACATATTTCCTCATCTAAATATTATAATCCCAATTTCATATTTTCGAAACTTGCAGTAAAAATGATTTTTTTTGCAAAATTCAGATTCCATTGGAATGGAGTATCGGTATTCTGATGGTGAAGATTTTGAACGCTCAAATACAAAGAAATTGGAAACTAATATAAAAAAGAAGGAAGAATCAAATGATAATAAAACTAGTGATACATCACTGGAGAATGGACCTAAAGTGCAGTCTACTGATACAAAAAGTTCAATGACCAAAGTATGCTGATTAACTTGAGTTGTTAATATTGTGCAGAATCATGGTTTCATAGGTCAAAAAGTATCGATTTATAAATATGTACATTATCAGTTTTGGCTTTTTTCAATATCTGAATATCTTATTTAGCTTTCAGGTTTCAAATGAGGATAATGATAATTGAAATTCTATAGTTGAACAAGATACGACTTGTATGTCATAGGTCAATGGGACAACTTCATCGTCTATTCTACAGCCTCTAGTCAACAGTCCATGTCTGATATGGGAATGAATAGTTACTTGAAAGTCACTGTAGACCCAGTTTTCTAAATGTTGCAAGTTACATGATGCTCATTAAGCATTGGCAGTTATTGTAATCAATGTTTACTTATTTGTATATGATTTATGATAACATATCATTCTAGTTTCTTCATGAATTTTTACTTTAGGATGATGAGGAATTTGGTGTTATGGTTGTTGACCTGGAAGATCCAGAAGTGACTTTCAAAAGTCCTCCAACGAAGTCAAATATAAAACTAAAGTCTGTTGGTGTTTCTAGTACAAGTAAAAGAAAGCGAACGGAGCTTGCTAATGAAGATAATTCAGTTATTGAAACATCGAAGGAATCTGTAGATAACACGCCACTTTCTGCAAAGCAGAAAAGATTGTTGAAAATTGAAGAACTGAAAAATGCTTTAAATTCAAAAGAGGATGGCGATGACTCTCTAAAAAGTGAGAAATCTGGGAAAAAAATCATGAAGTCTGTTGAGACACCAACACGCCAGATTAGGAAAAAGTTACCAAGAAGTGCAAAAAAGCCTAAAATCAAAACAGGTGCTAATTCCTTAAATAAAACCATGTAATTCCCTTTACTGTTATGGTAATCCTTTTTTGCTTTCAATGGCCACTGGCTTGAGAATGGAAACCAACGTTTGGAATCATAGGTGATACCTGAGAATAATGCTAATGCACCCTAATGGCTAATATGAATAAATTGGCCCAATATAAATTGGTTGATAGTATGTTTTTGTGCGAGTTCAATAGGCGTCTGGTCAAAATTAGAGTTTTTGAGCAAATTTGTATGGTGGTCATTAAATATAGATAAATGCTTATTGTTGTGTTTGAGAAATTAAGTTGGCAGCACTGCCACTCCACAGGCAGGAATGACACAACAGTTTTTGGACTGTAGTTCGCATCGGTGGCAGTCGAGTTCTGCGATTAAACGAAAGGTGATTGGGACCTGTTAGCCTTCATTCAAGATATACTGTGTAGATATACCCTCAATACCTCCCGTGTTACTGAAATTACACCCCCGCTGGGAATTCTGCAGCATGTTTGGGTAAAAATGAGGAGAAATTTCTCTGCTATCGCCACAAATATTTTATGGCTATTCCCAGGACTTCCCCCATTTTGTATATGTTTTAACAAACCTTTCTAAATCTTCGTCTTTGCTTCTGGAAACTTAACACCTTTGATCACCTTTTGAAATTGCAGGAATGTTCTGATTCTTTGAATGAGTGTCCTGCCATTACTCACATCTATAATTTTCTAAAAATCATCAGTTTCGGAGTTACACAGGTTGCAATTCTTAATCATGTAGTAATTTTCATTAACATTCATAAAATCTTATTTGCCACTTAGTCCGATATAATGCAGACACTTCATAACCACGTTTTGCATACGCGCGTGAAACGAAATAGGTTGTAAACTTTACAGTGTAAAGAGTGCAGGTTTAATAAAAGGAGTGGAGTTGCCAAGTGAAATACTAACTAGTTGAGTTTTTTTTTGGCCGTTCTAACAATAACTTATCAACTTTGCATTGGTTGCAGGTATGCTGTGATGGATGGCGAGCGTTTTTTTAGTGGGAAATTTGTAAAATGGAATCAAAAGTATCAGACCCGTAGAATTAGATTGTGATCAGTGCTTGACACAATCACTAATATGCAGTACTTGAAGTCCACAAATAGAAACATGTTGCGACGAGAATCTTGCAGGTTCTTTGCGGATAGAATTTCCTAATAATAAATCAAGTATTTATTTTGACGCTTATTTTCGGAATCCTCTTTATTCATTAACGCTTAACCTTAAATCAATCTAAACCAGTGGTTTTCAACATTTTTTAATCCGCGGAACACTAAATCATAGTATCACAAGGTCATAATAAATCATCATCGAAAATATACAATTAATTAATAATTACGGTCATTCATTTTGTCTTAGATATCGAAAAAGATAGATAGCTTATTGACTCTAGTTGGAAAGAGACGTAATAAATTCAAAACGAGAATATCGGTCAGAGACCGAAGACTTATCGACCGAAAGTTAGGGGATCCCAAAACAGCGCTCTTACTCCATAGTGGCACCTTGTGTCCCATCACTAATTAATAACTCGCTAATTATACGACATAATTCATCCAAAATCAATAGGCTTCTGATCCGAGATGTGATGAATGCATATGCAAAATTGGAGCGGATTCGCTTTCGTGAGATATCGCGTGTATCTAACAAACAAACACCTATCAACATACTTACCGATCTTAAGATCGATAAGTAATTAGGATACGAAGAGCTTAATACGAATAACACTTTATCAAAATCGGTTCACAAAGAGCTGAAATAACTATACGGGAATTGTCTGAAACAGGCTTTGGGTAGCTTGTAATAACGATGGCATTTTAATGTTATATTTTGGCTTCTTTCGTTGGAAGCGGGTTTTCTCTTTTATTCAGGGATTGAGAAAAGAAAAACACGCAGTTCTAATTCTATCTAATCGTGATCATTCGATTTCTACTTTTTTTTTTAAAGTTAAACACTTTAACCGGGTAAAATTAACCGGTTAACCGCAGCGTGATGCTTGACACTATAATTTTAGCGTTTTAGGTGTCGCTGCCTGAAGACCTCTTGAGGTCCCTCGCGACTCCTGTCACACAATTTAAGTTAGTTTCCACTTGTATTTGTAATTATTTTTTTATATATCATACCATGTCTAAATTGTGTTGACGAATAAATGATGATTGATTGATTGATTGGTATGTCACAATGGTTCCGAAGCAATTTCGCTAATCTTATCCTGGTATCGCTCAAAGTTCTCAAGGATTAGGATAGTTAATGATCGCTCTACTGCAGGTTTTTAACCTTTTTTCTTTCATCACTTGCACAAATAAATCTTTGGCCCCCGACTTTCCCATTCAAGGGAATTACTACAAAATGAACAAAAAGTTTTTTCGCAAAGATAGACATTTCCACGCTATTATTATTATTTAAAAGAGAATTGCCAGCTAAAGAGCAGCAGAACCCACCATTCATTGCTACAACAATCGAAGTTTAACTAATTTATCGATAATTCTGACAATCTTTAATAGGTTTGTGGCTAACCTGAAAGTGTTTCTATGGCCCAGAAGTGGGTCATGGCCAACTGGTTGAAAACCGGTGCTCTGCTGCAAGAATGCTGCGTACTTCGGACAAATGGAAGTATTTTAGTAAAACCCCACTGCGTTATTAAAAGTCATGCATGTGACAAAAATTCAGTGTTCGATGTGCTTGAGATATTCAACACGACCAGAAATATTAATTTAAATCTTTCGTCACCACTTTCCGAATAAGTCAATAGGCTAACGGGGTTAGATTAACTATTAAGCCAAATAAGCACGTGCTTAGGGCATGAAGAAAAAGAGGCACCCCAGAAATTTTCATAGTCAAATTTTTAATGGCCTCTGATTGTTTAATGAAATAATTCGAATTGATCTAACGACTCAAACCTCAATATTGTCCCGGTTGAAATAAATTTTTCCATACTGTAAATGTTTGTAGGAATGAGAACTATTTCCAAAAAATATCATGCGAATTATTCATAATTTGGCCTCCAATCAGTAATGACTACTGCTTATTTATTGGACACGTCAGTGTACATAACGATGTTTCAATATTATGTTGTTGTTCTTGTTAGTACTCTTCTCTTTCGTCATGATGAAATCGCTTTTCTCTTCGAATACTGGACCAATTGTTTTGAAAGTTTCAGTGGTTAAAGATTGATTTTTTTTGCGAGAAGGCTTTTACTTATTTCAAAAATTTCTGTGAACTTCAAAAGATTCGTTTTTTATGTGTCAGAATAAAAAAAAGCGAAACCTTGTGACGTGTCCGTATATTTGAGCACAGCTCTCTTGTTTAATTTCAGATAACATGGAACACTAGTTTCATTAGTATTACTTATAATAGGGCACCAAGGTTAGGTGCGTAGGGCCTCTAAAAACGTAAAAAGTCATTATCCGGCCCTGGAAAGAATAGACTCAATTTTTAAATACCAGGACCTTTCATTACCGTAGCGTCCGCCATACAATTTGGATACTCAAAACATCAAAGTGAGAATCACATAGCAGAAAGCTAAGTACAGTCGGTAAAAAGCTTAACACTGTTCTGCTGCTAGAGTGGCTTAGTGGTACCGTAGTAGTATATATTTACGGTGGTACTAGTGGCTACCGTACCGGTATCCTGATATCGGCATTTAGCCATTAGGAATGTTAAACCCCAATACTACAGTTTTAAATACTGGTATGAATGAAAAACAATTACCATGGGATTTAGCCAGCTAAACTGAATTGAACCTTGTTGCAATATTCTGGCACCTGCAAAAAACCACACTTAGCAAAATTCCGCCATTTCATTGAGGTCCTCGCCGATGTCAATTGAAATTCGATTGATGTTTCTCCGACCTTTTATCCTGGATTTTGGTCGACAACTCCCGGGAATGCATTTTCATCCCGCCATCCTTGTTTTATGAATTGTTGGTGATTATTTGATTATATTCACAGTCAACTATTTTACGTAATTAGTGGCATATCTGCGTAAAACGGAGTCATTGAGTGAATTTAATATATATATATATATAATACCCCGCAAAATTGCCTTGAACCAGTTTCATGCAGCGCCTGTAAAGTTTATTGCTATAGGAAGAATACAGTACTGTACATGCGCAAAATACGATACACGCATACATTATTTGAGTCTGTGCAAACCGGAGAGCATATCATCACGTAACAAATGCAAAGGGTGCCTTGCCCTTGACCGGCGAACGACCCTTTAATAACTTCCGAGTTATGCGGAACTGCGTACACGTTCGTCAGTAAAGGAGATACGCGGAAGTTATTGTCTCGCTCCAACAGTAGTGTGATAATACATGTGTACTTGGCAAAGTTTTTTGAAAAATTTTTCAACACTTACGACTAAAAATTAGGCGGGCCTCATATCTGAATTGTATGATTTGAATAAATCTCAAATAAATGATGAAACATTTACTCCGAGTACAATTACATAATCAAATTAAATGGAACGTAAATATATATTACAATTTTTCTTGTGGCGATTCCATCAACAGTGCGCACTCAGAACCGAGCTTCTTGGCAGCGGTGAAATTTAATGTATGCGTGTGTGCGGTTATCTGCATGTGTGACTTTATTACCGACCAGTCGATCGCGAGCTATTTCGAAAATTTCAGTCGATCGCGGTCGAATGCAGCTTGGCCAACCCTGGTGTAGGCTTTGATCATACTTATCGCCACCGTGAAAATAAAAAAATGTACTCTACAATATCTTCTCTACTGGCTTTTTTGCGCTAAATAAAATTTCTGACATTTAGTCACTGCGTAAAATCGCGTGCATATTGTGTTCAAATATTCGCAATCGCCTTGTGCAATCCAAGCCTTTGTGAAGCGACGCGCAAATTCTAACGTAAATCAGAACTGATATATATATTTAAGTTTGCGGCCCGCAATGAGTTTCCACATGTGAAAGTGGCCCGCGACACGAAAAAGGTTGGACACGCCTGCATTAGATGACTGAAAGATTTTATTACATTTTCTTTTATTGCATTATTTAAGGCCTATTTTTGTTTTTCAATAAAGTACGGTACCAGATTACGTTCCTCTTTACGCCCTCAAAGATATTATAATGTCAGAACCATCATCTTAAAAGTGTAGTTTAAGTGGCGATGTTGGAATATTCCAAAAATACTGGATTGAAATATTCGGTGTAATCATTGGAACCCTGGCGTCTCTGAGTAAAGTTATTCTTACATACTGGAGGTTCGCGCCTCCTTATCGACAGAACAACAAATGAAT